GAAGGCCTTCTGTTTTTTTACCTTTGCGGGAACCTTGAAAATCTTTAAGGAACTCGAATGCTGATGTTTGGCCACCATTGGGCCCTATAATCTTTCTGTGGCTAAGAACAGGAATGGCTAAAGTAAAGATAAAGAGGCATGAAAAGAGCTGAGAAATTTTGGAAGCCATAGTCGCGGACAAAGATATCCAAGGTGTTGATCTCAAATAAGTAATGGTGTAGTGCTTAGTATAATTAACGTTTGAATGTATTTATAGACTTGCTTGGAGGGAAAGAGAAATTTTTCATTCCCAGTGTAATAAAATTAGAATTCAAATTTTCTGAAACCTCGTGTCATATGGTTGGGGAAATGCCAAACCCCCATTTAGGTTTAGGCTGGCCTATAAACCCTCAATAAACTTGAAAAAAATAATAATAAATAAAAATTGAAGATATGCCATATTTGTCTCTTATTCTTTCAAAACTCTTTTTTCTTCGTACTCATTTTCAACGACACATTCATACAATTCTACACATAAGCCAAAAGCCCTATTTTTTTTTTATGGCACATTTTCCAAAAAAAAAAATCACAGTTTTTTTTTTTTTTTTCAAAAAGCATAATTCTGTGTTAAGACAGTTGACTTCTTGCTAATATGTTTGTGGGCTTCAGTTTACTAAATATTAGGAATTCAATGGATCTAGATAACATGTGAAGCCAATGGTTTAATTCGCGAAATTAATGATTATTACTTGCCAATAAATTATTTTGAAACCATGTTGTACGTTTAGCGTTGAGTAAGACTTTCCATGCTATATCTCTAAAAGTAATATATACGTGTTTGTAAAACGTGATTTGAGTGTATATTATATAATTTAAACAATAACTGTTGAGAGGAAAAAATAATAAAAAGATTTAAATGAAAAACTCTAAGAGCATCTCCTATGCACTCTTTAAATGTATAACTCTTATATATAATGTGTTCAACTTTGAAATTAAGCTCCTATATACTCCTAATTTAATCTTTGAAAATAATTCCATTTAAAAATTTCAAGTTTAAATATTTGACTTCTCGTAATATTGATGTTATATTTGAATATTTTTAGTCATTGATATATTTATAAAATATACAAGTTAATAAATGAAGTAAAAAGTAAGTTGTTATTGGGAAAGTTAAAATGAGGAGATAAAAATGAAGTGTTCGCTATACTGTGNTAAGTGGTTATTGGGAAAGTTAAAATGAGGAGATAAAAATGAAGAGTTCGCTATACTGTGACAAAAAAAAAAAAAAATTCTTTAAATATGAATTTAAAGATGCCCTTTATATGACGTTCGAGATTTTCTTCAAAAATAAAGGATTTCTTTGAGGTGCTCTAAAACTTCAGAAAAAGAAAATCGCACATTTTCAAGTATATATAGAGACATTACACATTATTAAAAATTATTATAGTTATTTTGAGTCTCCCAATTAACTAAACCTCAAGATGACCCATGAATCTACATAGTAAGAAAATCGATTTATTATATACTCGCGAGACTATAAAGGATTAGCCATGAGTCAACATATTAAGCCCATATTTGACAACTATTAATTTCAAACTCCTTTTTCTTCGTATTCATTTTCAACCACACATCCACACGGTTAAATATTATGCATGTAAATTTAATTTTTGTTCCGACTTTTTAACCGTAAATTCTCCTAAAATCACTACTAAAAACATGGTTTTTTCCCATTTGATGGTTATCAAACAATGGCTAAGAAAACCGGTATTTACAATATACTGCTGAGACAACATAGGATTGTCTATAATTATCTCCCAAATTAGGATAAATAAAATAGTAAGAGGAGTGTCCTTCGTATAGGAAGATAAAATGAGGGCTTTCAGTTTCTTTGTAATGTGGGATTCTAAATAACCCCATCACAAGTAGGAAACTAAATCTAATCATAATCTATGTACGACACACAAATAGAGTCAAATTATTAGCTTTCCAGAATTCAAATAAACGAAAAGGCTATTGTTGCAGTTGAACTCCTCTTCCATCACCGTTTCCATGATTTTTGTGCCACCACACCACCATTGTAGCAAATTGATGTGCTGCATCAACACATCTATGTGTCCATGAAGTTGTTTTGTCTTTTCAAGTCGTGTCGACAAGAAAACATGTCGAGTAGCTGTGCATCTTTGTCAAGTGAAATAGCTTTTACCATTGTACTCACGGATCTTAAGATTTAGGTGCAATTTCCTCTAGTTTGATGCTAAATATTAGAACATGACCAAATTCCTATTTGGATTTGGTTCAGGTTGCTTGTCGAGAAAGGGGACATAAAAAATTTTTGTCAGATGTCCAGTTTTAAAAGAGATAAAATTTCATTAAGGGCTTGTTTGGGCCTGATTAAAATCAGATTTTAATATAAGTCAAAGTCAAATAATCAATATCAACCGCATCTTTCATGGGTCTCACATCTTTTTAACCACACAT